GAAGATGAAGTATAATGCTAAACTTTGGAGAGAAATCCCTCATCTACATGAGTTCTACTACTTGATGTTGCTTTGATATGAAGATCCCTAGTTTCTTACCCTCACCAAGAAAAAATACTGTGCAAGATAAATTGATCTCTACAAGGCAATAGAATGCAATTTCATGAATCAGTTTTAAAGAAGGGTTGTGCCTGATTGATCTCTCCCACAGTGTGTCTGGAAGACAAATAAGTAAAACACTGAAAAAGTATAAGGGATGCAGGAACAAAAAGTTTCAAGGTTACACTTTAAACTTGCAAGAGCTATTATCTAGATGGAGCTGATGCAGTCAACTTCACACCCGAATGATGGCCCTCATTAACATTAGATCCGAAACAGAAAAATAAACGTTCCTCACATGCTGACCACATGTCAGACACATGCAGTACTTCCAAGTACTGCAGGTATATCAACTCATTTAAGCTTTCCAACGATCTTCAAAGCTTTGTCCTTCTGTTATGACGATTCCTATTTTACAGATGTGAGACCAGAGAGGCTCAGAAACTCGCCTAAGGCCACATAGCAAAGCCACGACTTGAATTCAAGATGCCGCTCCCTAAGGCCTAGGCTGTGTGCTCAGGCACTGCTTCGCAATAGGTCTTCACGGGGAGATGTCCCCGTGAGGCAGTGAACGTCTCTAACAGGAGAAAACGGGAAAGGAAAGGTACAGGTAAAAAGAAGGAAAACGGTCACCCGGGGTCCCATCTGTCTGTTCTCCCAGTCGCTCTTCTCTGCTGTTCAGTCGCTCAGCCATGCCCAGCTCTTTGTGACTTCGTGGACTGCAGCTCACCAGGCTCTCTGTCCATGGGATTTATCAGGCAAGAACCCTGGAGTGGGTTGCCATGTCCTCCTCCAGGGGATCTTCCCAACCCAGGGATTGAAGCTGGGTCTCCTGCATTGGCAGGCAGACTCTTACCACGGAGCCACCAGGGGAGCCCGAGTTTCTCTATGTGCATACATACACGCATGCACCAAATGGACACAAACATGCATCAAAAGGCATGGCCAGAGAATGTTGTCCAAAGGACAAAAAGAAAATCACCCACTTTTGTAGCCCTTTAAAAACTGCACTGAAAGTGATAATAACCCGGAGAAAACAGCACAAGGATGATAAGCTGCCTTCCCAGTTAAAAGGGATAATCACTCCAAAGTGAGTTCCAGAGGGCGCATTGTCAGTGGAGGCAGGCGGAGGTTTTGGCTTCAGGGGATTAACTTAAACTTGCTACAGATTCTTCAGTGGGTGCCGATGCAAGGCTGCATCATACGAAAGCTGGTGCAACCCACGGGTCACTCAAAAAAGATTTTTTTCCTGTGTATGCAGGTATCCACTGCAACACACTGTCCCAGATTGTTCCCTATATTTCTATTACCCATTTTCCTCTTTCCAGGAAGACCTGCCAATTATATGTATTTATATATTATAAAGTATATATATACACATTGTGTATATATATTATACATTATATATAACATAATATATATTATATTATAATAATATAACATATACTTATATATAATATATATTATTTTATATATATATAAAAGAGCAGAGAGGAAAGTAAGGAAGGGGGGAGAAAAAAGGAGAGGGAGAGAACAAGAGAGGGGACTGTCTTGATTTCCAACATTTTGTTCCCATGTTCTTCCTTCTGACACTCTCCTCACCCTTGTGCCCCATATTAAAAATAGAGTCCAAAAAAATAGAGTGATTCAACAGTGATTGAATGACCACAAAGAAAACCATTTCTGTAGGACACATTACATTGTCAGGGCCTCTGGATCAGTCGAGATCGTCGACAGTTTGCACATTATAAAAACGATATGATTCTGCTTTCCAAGTGCGTGCATCTCAGCAGCCAGCTTCACACCCCTCTCACCGAAGCTGCTGCTGCGGATTCAGTCCATTCCACACACATCAAAGCAGACATCTGACTCACAGGTTGAAAGGCAGGAAGAGACTTGTGACTTTATCTCATCCTGTGGTTGCCAATCCTGCCTGTGCCTCTGAACCCTCTAGAAAATGTTCAGCAGTTCAGACCACCAGGGCTCAACCGGAGGGTATTCTGGAAAGATGGGACCTGGGCATCTACACTTCTAATAATCAACCTAGGTAAGATACTGGGACATCATATAATAAGAAATATATATTTGGTCTTCATCCCTGTTCCTGGCACAGAACTCCTAAAACTTATATTTAAGAGTCAAGAAGATGACTTTTGTTATTGATAACAAGCCAGCCCCTTTTAACCACATCTGAGTTTATGTTAATGAGGTGACTTTGGAAAAGCCCCTCTAAGGATAGGGCCCCTGTTGCCAGAGAAACAAGACATGTGATCAGAGGGCTAGGATTTCAGCTTCACCACCCCGGCCAATCTTGCAGGAGGGGAGAGCGGCTGAAAACTGAGCTCCAACCATCAACAGCCAGCGATTTAATCAAGCACGCCTCCGTAATGAAGCCTTCACAAACGTCTCTGAAGAACAGGGTTCAGATTGCTTCCGGGTTGATGAGCACGGGGAGGTTCTGGACGGTGGCTTGTCCAGAGAAAGCACGGACGCTCCCCTGCCCCCAGGGTCCCCTCCCCCGCCTCCCCATCACCTCCTCCATCGGCCGTCGTCGCTGAATTGCATCCTCTTAGAATAAACTGGTGACCTAGTAAGGGGCTTCCCTGGTGACTGAGCGTAAAGAATCTGCCTGCCAATGCAGGAGACATGGGTGCAATCCCTGGGTCGGGAAGATCCCCTGGAGAAGGGAACGGCAACCCAGTCCAGTATTCTGGCCTGGGAAATGCCATAGACAGAGGAGCCTGCGGGGCCTCAGTCCAGGGGGCCGCAGAAGGATTGGACATGACTGAACAGCGACAATCGAGCAAGCACACAGCTCTCCGGTGCCCTGTGAGCCATTCTGGCAAATGATTGCAACTGAGGGGGCAGTCGTGGGAACCTCTGGTCTGTAGCCGAGCAGGACAGAAGTTGTGGGTAACCCGGGGACTCCCCACTTGCCATCGGCAAATTTAGTGGGAGGTAGTCTTATGATACTGAGCCCATAACCAGTGGGAGTCGATGCTAACTCTTGGTAAACGGTGTCAGAACTGAACCGAACTGTGGGACACCCAGCTGGTGTCACAGAACCCCTTGGTATGGAAAACCCACATAACTGCCGTCAGATGTGGTGTGAGCAGCAGAGCGTGGACAGGGGAGACAGAGCAGTTTCTTCTCTCACAGAGGAAATTCTAAAGCTTCTGGAAGCAGGGCTGTGATTCATCTCACTGTTCAGCGAAGCCCAGAAGCTCATGCAAATGACAGCAACCACAACCATTGTAGAGTCATAAAGCTAACACGCATGGAGCACTCACCATGGGCCACGGAAATGTGTGCTTTTATCATATCTGAGACTTAGCTTGTAGGTACTGTTTTTATCCCACTTCCGGGACAAGGAGGCTGAGGTTCAGAGAGGTTAAGTAACTGGCTCAAGGTCACACAGCTGGTAGGTGGCAAAACCAGCAGTCTGATTCCAGAGTTCTTGCCCTCAATCACTGGGACACCCTGACTCTTATAGACTCTATTGGTATTTTTTACACAGTAGAACTCAGTTCACTTCTGATGCTTGGAATTTATAGCCTTGTTGTTTAGTCGCTCAGTCGTGTCCGACTCTTTGCGACCCCGTGGACTGTAGCCCGCCAGGCTCCTGTCTATGGAATTTCCCAGGCAAGAATATTGGAGTGGATTGCCATTTCCTTCTCCAGGGACCTTCCTGACCCAGGGATCAAACCCGCATCTCCTGCCTCTCCTGCACTGGCAGATTCTTTACCACTGAGCCACCAGGGAAGCCCCAGTAGCCTTATACTCCAGAATAAAATCAAATAGAGAAGTACATTGTGCAGCTTCAACACTGCCCTCTGCTGTCTTCTGCATTTCACTTGTTTCCTTGGAATTCCTAAGTGCTCGGTAATAAGTAAAATACTTGGTGAAGGATCACCTTGAGTCCTCTCAGCAGTTCCATGAGATAGGTATCATTATCCCCACTTTACAGATGGGAAAACTGAGGCTTAGAAAGCCACATGACTTGCTCCAGTTCCCACAGCCAGTAAGTTGCAGGGCAGGGGTTTTAACTTTGGTCTGCTGGACTCCAAAGAGCCCAGGCTCCCAGTGTTCCTATTCCGTTGCTTTTCACTTATTGCCGTAAATCCTCAGACTCTTCCAGACATCATACACGCCCAAGAGAGACGAATACTGTTATGAGCTGAATTGCTGAGATGATGGAGTTCCTACGACCTCATTTGGAAACAGGGTCTCTGCAGAGGACCAAGTTAAGATGAGGCTGGGGCTGTGCCCAGCCCCACGTCCCTGTGTCCGTGCAAAAGGGACAGGCTTGGACCCAGAGACAGATGCTCATAGAAGGAAGATGCTGGGGAAACCAAGGAGGAGCGCTGTGCCAAAGCCAAAGCGTGTCTGAGGCCACCGGGAATCAAAGCAGGGGCAGGGGACAGTCCTTTTTTTTTTTAAAGACTTTTTTGTTTGATGTGGACCAATTTTTTAAGTCTTTATTGAACTTATTACAATATTGCTTCTATTTTTTGTTTTGGTTTTTTGGTCATGAGGCATGGGGGAGTCTTAGCTCCCCGACCAGGGATCGAACCTGCCACCCCTGTGTTGGAAGGCAAAGTCTTAGCTACTGGACCACCAGGGAAGGCCCCAGGGAACGGATTTTTTCACACACAGATCTCTCAGACGATCCCGACCTTGCGCACACCCTGAGTTCCAACTTCCAGCCCCAACACGGTGAGACGGTACATTCCTGTTGCCTCAGCCGTCCGCCCTGCGCAGCTGCGTTTGCAGCCCCAGGAACGACACGCGTGCCTTCCACGTGGCTTCAGCCCCGGCATCTGTTCCACCATCAGCAGGGTCAGCAGCCCTTCCCGCCCGCGTCTCCACCCCCAGGATGAGCAGTCCGCCGGGACACTCACCTTCCTCGTAGTGTTGCATAGGGCGGGCGAACATCATGACCGGTAGGCCGTTTTGACCACACGCGTCTCCAGATGCAACCTGGAACAGAATGTGTGGCAGGATTAGCCAAGTCTCGGATGAGAAAAATCAGAAAAACTCAGGAAAGGAACTCAAGGACACAGGGGCACCTCACAAAATAAAGTCTCCACTTCTAGAAACCACCCCGCTTTCTATCACGCCTCAGAGAAACGAAAACCCCGATCGAAAGCACTGGATTCCTGGGCTGACGAGAGCTCTGCATGGTCTACGCCCGCGTTCAGCAAGCCCTGCGAGCTCGGGCAGGACAGACCCCTCCGCCCAGATGGGACTCCCGGGCAAACTGGGGTGCTGGTGCGACTGGTGAGGGGACAAGAGCGTGACGGGCTGGGCGGTTAACCACACCGCAGGGTCCCGCACGCGAGCACAGCCTCCAGGCCACACTCTCCTCAGGTTCAGGAAGCCGCCCGTTGCTATTTTTCTGCTCCACGCCCACCCCCTCCATCGAGCTGTTGCGACACCTTTCCAGTTTTAGGTCACTGTTGGATTATTTTCTCTTCATTTATTGCTGACATTTAAAAAGACTACACACATATATGTAGGCGTATATGTACATATATATACACATACAGATACACTCACATGGAAAGAAAAAAAGGGCAAAAAAGAATGTGTTACCCGATGTCATTTTCGTAATAAATGATACCACTCGTAGTTGGCATTAACTTAATATTGATTATACGCTAAGTACTTTTCATATCTCATCTTATTTTGCTAACACTATTAGTATTGTAATATATGTTAATAAGTGCAGAGAGAGAAAAAAAGCTAAGAGACTAAATACCCATCTTTGGGAAGACTTTTCTTTACTTTATATTTTTGTAACAGTTTTGTTTAAAAGAAGCTTGTGCTTGGAAGTTCCCTGGATACCGGAGTTGTGATGACCAAGAAATATCTCCAGATATTGCCGGTGGCGAGGCAGAACCACCCACGGTTGACCCACCGGTCCAGACCCACCTGGACCTGTACATCTGATGGATGGGAATCAGTCACCATGGAGACTCAGGTTCCATGGGCCCCCATCCCTGCGATTTCTTGTTCCCTGGGCCTTGAGTGGGGTCCTAAGAGCCTCCACTTTTAACAGCTCCTCGGTGGGGTGTGGAGGTTTGCGTCCCACTGAGCAAGCCCCCGGAGCAGCAGCCGCCGCATCGCTCGCCCTGAGGAGCCCTGGGCAGGCTCCTCCTTCTGCCGTCTCCCGACCCTCCCGACCAATAGCTAACGACGCAGGGACTGTAAGGACACCACCTTGTGAGTGTCTGCTTCCGGGTCATTCTCTTGGTCTTCAGCTCTTTGGGGAACACTCATTTGGTTACCCATTGTTCCTGCAACAGAGAAGAGAGACACAGGGAAAATTAAAACCCAGGAGAAACGAGTCTCACTTCTGCCTATAAAACTAAGATGCAGAGACCTGCCCAGTCACTGGGGGAGTATTATCACAAGCACCAGGGAGACCAATCGCGCATGTCTATTTGAGGAATGAGGGGAGATTTGGGGCTCATGAATTCAACAGAGCTAAAGTCAAATGCAGGAGCTTCATTGCTGGTCCAGTGGTTAGAACCCCACACTGGAGCTGCAGGGGGCACAGATTCCGTCCCTGGTTGGGGAACTAGATCCCACAAGCTGTGTGGTGTGGGAAAAACAAGTGTAATAAAGAGTTTGGTGGTTTAGTCGCTAAGTCGTGTCCAACTCTTGCAACCTCATGGACTGTAGCCCGCCAGGCTCCTCTGTCCATGGGATTCTCCAGGCAACAATGCTGGAGTGGGTTGCCATTTCCTTCTCCAGAATAGAGTTTGGGGACCTGAAAAAGAGCGGATACATGTGTGTGTGACTGATCACGTTACTGCAGAGCAGGCGGGAACACCATTGTAAAGCAACTGCACGCCCATGAGCTTTCTCCCAGTTTGTTATCTGCTTCAGGCTCTGCGGGGTCTCCGTTGCTGCCCGGCTGTCCTCTGGCTACGATGCCCCGGCCCCTCCCTGCGCTGACTTCTCGTGTGGCGAAGCATGGGCTCTGGGGCACGCGGCCGTCGGCAGCTGCGGCTCGTGGGCCGGGTACTTTCAGCCCCTGTCTCTGGGCAGGCTCCGTTGTGACGGCACATGGGCGCAGCTGCTCTGGGGCGTGTGAGATCTTCCTGGACCAGGGATAGAGCTTGCGTTCCCTGCATTGGCAGGCGGGTTCTTTACCTCTGAGCCACTAGGGAAGCCCCCTAAAATTTCTTTAAAATGCAGTCCCAACTGTCAACTGCTTTTCATTCCTGGGGGAATGTTATCATATGAAAGCATATTCCACGTAGATATCATTTTCTTCCTTCTTAGCCAGTCACAGCTCTTAGATCAAGGAGATTTTAAAATGGGGACAGTTAAAATGACACATACAATTTTCAATAGTCTCTGATCCTCAAACTAAATTAAATCCTATGTTAAAACCTCTTGTAGCACAGGCATTTTTTCAAGCACTTAGCACTATGTGTAATTATATCTCTATTTGGCTATATTTTCATTCATTTATTGATTCAACAAATGTACACTGCACCATCCCTGCACCATATGCTGAAGCAGACACCAGGGTTGCAGCTGTGAATTAAACAGATGAGCCCCTTTGACTTCACGGAGTTGAAATCTGTTGGGTGGACGGAGAATAACAGACAGACAGTAAATCCACAAATCAAGCCACGTCCCATAGCTCAAGGCAGCACATGCAGTGGTGTTGGGCATAGACCCGGAACAGGACAGCCTGGGCTTGAAGGCTCTCCCTGCCCCTCACTGCTGTGTGTCCTTGGATGAGTTAATTTGCCTCTCTGTGCCTCAGAGGGCCGCTACAAGTACACAGTGAGTTAATGCTTGTAAAGTGGTTAGAACAATGCGTGACTCTTCATAAGCAATATAGAAGTATTTGTTAATACAAACACATAGGGTTCAATGCTATGAACAAAAACGTAATATGTGACATGTCTGTTATTATAGGGGGCACATGAGAGGGCAGGAAGCTGCAACGCGGGATAGGATGGTTCTGGAATGAAGTACCACTGATCCAGGCTTAACTCTGAGGGCAATGCAGAACATTGAACTTCCATCTCCCTTCCCCATTAGCTGTAAGCACCATGAGGGCAGGACTGTCTCTCTTTACCCACCATTATATCTCAGCACTGCGTCTGCACTGATCAGGTGTCAAATGATTACTTATTAGTTGAGTGGAGGGAATAATTATTAGTAACAATCCCTCACCCCGCAGCACTGAACTAGGCCCTAACCCATATCATCCCTAAACCCTTCAAGAGCCTCATGACGGCACTGATGACGATAGTTCACAACTGTCCACATGTCCTCAGCTCCAAACACTGTTTTCCAAGAGTGCATCCTGGGCCATCTCGTGTGGCCCTGCATGCCTGTGTGAAATGGGTGTCACCATCATGTCACTATAGGCGAGAGGAAGCTGAGTCACAAGGAGATAAAATCACTTTCCAAAGGTCAGCTGGTTAAAGATGGCAGAGGGAGATTCCTGCACACGCTGCCTGTGCTCCAGCTTCTGGAATGTTCCCCACGGAATTCCCTTCCCAGTGGAAAGGAGGGAATTGAGCCTCTCGAACGCGCCCAGGACACACATCCGGAGAAAGGCCATGTGCGGTCTTGACCCAGAGGATGTCTGCTTCCAGAGGTGGGGCTCTTTCAGTCCCTCTAAGCTGCCTTACTAGTTAAAAGCTGCTTTTTTCACGCACATAAGTTATTCCAATGTAGCCCTTCTCCAAAGACCTGGCTGCTGACTCATCAGCCTGCTGGCTCTTGGAATAATAGCCAGGGGTTTTAATTCCTGGCCAAACACAGTCAATGCATCTTCAAGGATTTCCATGGGAGGAGACTTGAGTAATCAGAAATTTGGGAGGCCACAAAAGGGCTTTCTTGGGGGAAACTGGTAGATATCAGAATTGGGATTTTATATATTAACAATAGGTCATTACAACAGGTAATAAAGCTGAGCAGTGCTAAAACATACAGGACCCCTGTTATGTTGCAATATTTTTTATTTATAAAATCCAAGATATCCATACTCCCAATAGGCCATCACTTCATCTATAAATGGGATGCTATGAAAATAATATTGCATATTCAAGGCCAGGGTCAGCAAATGACAGCTGGGGAACAAACCCAGTCTGCCGCCTGTTTTAGTCTGGCCTATGTGCTAAGAATGGATTTTACACTTATACAGGGTTGGGGAAAAAAATCAGAAGAATCATAGATTGTGACACATGAGAATTATATGAAATTCAAATTGTGGTATCCATAAATAAAATTCTTTTGGAAGACAGCCATGCCCATTCATTTATCTATAGTCTACCTACAGCTGCTTTCATGGACTGAGGCAGAGTTGAGGAGTTTCAATAGAGACCATATGGCCTGCAAAGCCTAAGATATTTACTATCTGGCCTTTTCTAGAAAGTTTATAGGTTTTGCTTAACATTAGCCTTGGTAACATATATTCATTTTGCAAACAGTGAGATTGAAGCAGCTGAGAGATTAAGTGTTGCCCAAACTAAGACTGACCAGGAACTGAACCCACTGTGTATAAAAGCACTGACAACTCTAGTAACCATAGTAATGATGAGACAGTAATACTAGGAGCTTCTCTGGTGGCTCAGTGGTAAAGGACCTGCCGCCGGCGCAGGAGACATGGACCTGCTCCCTGGGCCAGGAAGGTCCCACGTGCCACGGAGCAGCTAAGCCCATGCATCACAGCTGCTGCAGCCCGGGCTTTAGAGCTGGGGAGCGGCAACTCCCAAGCTCACGAGCTGCAGCTCCTGGAGCCCTCACCCTCGAGAGCCCGAGCTCTGCAACATGAGGAGCCAGCGCAGCGAGAAGTGCGTGCGCCCCACCTGGAGAGCAGGCCCCCCCGGGGAACCTGAGAAAAGCTTCACACAGCAACAGAGACCCCAGGCGCAGCTTCAGTAAATAACATCATGTTTGAAAGACGGTAATATTAATAATGGCCTTGACCAGACGGATCTTTGCTGGCAAAGTGATATCTCTGCTTTTTCATATGCTGTCTAGGTTGGTCATAACTTTCCTTCCAAGGAGTAAGCATCTTTTAGTTTCATGGCTGCAATCACCATCTGCTGTGATTTTGGAGCCCCCCAAAATAAAGTCTGACACTGTTTCCACTGTTTCCCCATCTATTTGCCATGAAGTGATGGGACCAGATGCCATGATCTTAGTTTTCTGAATGTTGAGCTTTAAGTCAACTTTTTCACTCTCCTCTTTCACTTTCATCAAGAGGCTCTTTAGTTCCTCTTCACTTTCTGCCATAAGGGTGGTGTCATCTGCATATCTGAGGTTACTGATATTTCTCCCAGCAATCTTGATTCCAGCTTGTGCTTCTTCCAGCCCAGCGTTTCTCATGAAGTACTCTGCATATAAGTTAAATAAGCAGGGTGACAATATGCAGCCTAGACGTACTCCTTTTCCTATTTGGAACCAGTCTGTTATTCCATGTCCAGTTCTAACTTGCTTCCTGACCTGCATACAGGCTTCTCAAGAGGCAGGTCAGGTGGTCTGGTATTCCCATCTCTTTCAGAATTTTCCACAGTTTATTGTGATCCACACAGTCAAAGGCTTTGGCATAGTCAATAAAGCAGAAATATATGTTTTTCTGGAACGCTCTTGCTTTTTTGATGATCCAGCGAATGTTGGCAATTTGATCTCTGGCTCCTCTGCCTTTTTTAAAACCAGCTTGAACATCTGGAAGTTCATGGTTCACGTATTGCTGAAGCCTGGCTTGGAGAATTTTGAGCATTACTTTACTAGAGTGTGAGATGAGTGCAATTGTGTGGTAGTTTGAGCATTCTTTGGGATTGCCTTTCTTTGGGATTAGAATGAAAACTGACCTTTTCCAGTCCTGTGGCCACTGCTGAATTTTCCAAATTTGCTGGCATATTGAGTGAAGCACTTTCACAGCATCATCTTTTAGGATCTGAAATAGCTCAGCTGGAATTACATCATCTCCACTAGCTTTGTTCTTAGTGATGCTTCCTAAGGCCCACTTGACTTCACATTTCAGGATGTCTGGCTCTAGGTGAGTGATCACACCATTGTGATTATCTGGGTCATGAAGATCTTTTTTGTACAGTTCTCCTGCGTATTGAATTGATGCTTTTGAACTGTGGTGTTAGAGAAGACTCTTGAGAGTCCCTTGGACTGCAAAGAGATCCAACCAGTCCATCCTAAAGGAGATCAGTCCTGGGTGTTCATTGGAAGGACTGATGCTGAAACTGAAGCTCCAATACTTTGGCCACCTGATGAGAAGAGCTGACTCATTTGAAAAGAGC